CATGTATATATTTATATTCATATAATTTATATTATAAATAAATATATTTAATATATAAATGTAACATTTTTCTTAAATGTATACATGCATGTGTGTGTGTTTATATATATACATAATAAATATACACAGTACACACACATATATTTATGTAAACAAATTTTTTTATTTAGGATGTGATTAATCGCGATTAATCGTTTGACAGCACTATTATTTATATGTGACTTGCCCCTTTAGACTTGCACTCTATTCATTTAGCTACTAGCTGCTTGTTTTCTTTTAAAAAATAAACTAACACTAGCTTCTCTATTCTTTTTTAATTCTATTCTATATATTTCTATATATTTGTTTTCTTTTTATTCATTATACAATTAATAAAAAAAGGCCTGTAACACTAGCTTGCTCTATTCTTTTTATATTCTATCTGTTTTCTTTTTATTTATTATATAATTTAAAAAAACCTTGCTACACGTACTGTGTTAAGCTAACTGAGACTTGTGTATCATTGCTCTTTTGTTGATTTTCACTGCTTCTATTGTCCTCATCTGTAAGTCGCTTTGGATAAAAGCATCTGCTAAATGACTCAATGTAAATGTAATATTGTCATGTTTTCATGTTCTAGTCATACCAATCACCACAATTTTTAAGTATGATCACTAGTTTTCTTTCATCACACAAAAAAAAAAATCAATCATTTACTTGCCCTCATATCAACGCAGACCTGTATGAATTCCTGTCTCCTGTGGAACATATATACAAGATATTTTGATGAAGAGCTTACATGACTGTTTATGAATCACTGTGATGTGTGGCTCATGGGATTGTAAAGGGTCCGCTGCAATATCAGGCGAATACAGGGACTTCTGGTGTGTTTATCAGCGGCTGGCAGGTCAGTGTGGGACTGCACTAAAATGGCTCATTCCCTTATAATATCACAAAATTCAGGATGAAAAAAGATACATAATGCCTGCTTAGTTCATTCTTGATAATAATCAAACTGTGCAAGAATGTTGACCTGTCTCTTGTTCTCAGGACCGGATGGGTCTCAGATCTTCTGGTGATAGTCTCTGACTGAGAGTTTAAAATGAAAGAATTAGCAACATTTGTCTTTGACTACATGAAGTTTTGTTTGATGAAAATATTTTATATTTTAGTACATTTTAGTGTTTTATTATTATTATTAGTAGTAGTAGTAGTAGTAGTAGTATTGTTAGTCTTTTTACAGAAACAACGAATGACCAATGTCTCGAGCACCACCTATTTATCCTATTTATCACTTCCTGATAAACTGCCATCGAATATCACTAAGAAAAGTAGGAGAAGCCACTGAATGAAATAATTTTCATATATAATAAATGTACTTGCGCCCCGGAGTGAGCAGACGAAACAATAAATGCGGTCATTGCTTTGGAAAAGGGATGTCTGCTGTTTGGGAAAGCAGTCGTGTAAGACGCTTCTGGCAATCATACAGAAATACGTTTACGACAGACTTTGCTCGGGCATTTCAGATTGACCAGAACAACATTTCAGATAATGTGCAATGAAACCGGTCCACTGGCTAGTCAGGATTTGTGGTCCCATAGCACAAAGACACATACCCCCTGTTTCACAGACACAGCTTAAGCCTAGTCCCCGACTTAACTGTAAGTCTGAGCTGTTTCAACTGAAGGAAACTTGTACTGGTTGATCTTGAAATAGGTCAGTACCCTTGTTTTGTCTCAAGATGCACACCAGTAATGTTTTTTTCTAAGGCATGTTTATAAAAATTACTTTTAATCCTAATTGAACTATGGCCTTGTCCCGACTCCTGGCTTAAACTAAGCCCCATCTGTGAAACCGGGCCATGATGTTTTTGATCTGCATGGAGGAATTTATTTGGTAAATTTGTTTCCATCTCCCATTATTCGCATTAACCTTTTTTCACACAAGTCAAAAACCACCTCAAGTGAGCATAAAAACTTTTTTGTGAACTAGGGATTTTTTTTTTTTTAGATTTGGCATTTTCATAGCTCGTTTTCTCATTCAAAATGCTCATAAAAACAGGGTGATGGATCTTCTATACATGAGGTTTAATGTATTTCTGATTTCTAACCTGCCTGCAATTTTCAATTCATCCTGAACACCTTGATGATCATGGTTCAGGTGTGTTTGATTCGGGTTTCAGCTAAGCTCTTCTGCACAGTGGGTCTGCAGGAGCAGGGATGAAGACCTCTGCCATAGTTGTTCCGACTGTATTATTATGCTTTTGTTGTCACTAGTAGTGTGCTGTGTATATCTTGGCTGCATCCGAAAACCCTTCGGAGAACACATTCCAAGGCAGGAAGACATCAAGGCATGTCCGAATCCAAATTCTGCTTCACTTCCTGTCTCCGGAGGTACCTTCTGATCGAATTTTGAAGGCAGCATAGATGTATCCTTCGCTGCCTTTGATATCCCACAATCCTGTGCGTTCCATTCTGTGACAGGTTGAGCTAAAAAATAAAGATGGCGTCTGAAAGTTGCGTTTGGTGGTCAATTTGTGTCTAAATGTATATTTCTGACTAACTTTTTGCACTTTTGAAGTTATTTCTAGCGAGAAATCAGTATTATAGTAATTAAATATTCGTTTTTATCACCAAAACCCGTTCTGTTTTGTTGTAGATCATTAAACCGTTACGCTGCCTCAGAAGCCTGTCCGAAATCAGTTTCATGAGGTGCCCTCATGCAGAAACGCTGCCTGCAAAGTCATTGCCTCATAAGTCAGCTGCCTAGGCTTTCGGACGCAGCCCAGGTGTTCTCAACTCTGGCCCTCAAAAAACACTCGACACAGCTTGAAGCTTTGAAACCTTTATGAATCTTTTGTTTCAGATCATTGATTCAGAGCATGCCAAAGTCACGTGATTTCAGTAAACAAGGCTTCGTTACGTCATAACGGTTTCGAAACGTTTCAAAATTTTAACAGTTCACCACTGGGAGGAGATCTCTCTGAAGCCTTTTTTTTATTGATTTCTAATAAAAACAGAACATATAGGCTACAAGAGTATAACATTACATGTCAGGGGTAATACAGATGTATACAGATATATAAATAAATAAAGACAGAAAGGCATTACGTTTTTATTGTTTGATGTCTTCCGCTCTCAAAAGCACGACTGAGGTGAGACCCTTGAGCAAGGCACCGAACCCACAACTGCTCTCCGGGCCCCGGGTGTGTGTGTGCACTACTGTGTGTGTTCACTACTGTGTGTGCACTACTGTGTGTGTTCACTACTGTGTCTGCACTGCTGTGTGTGTGCACTACTGTGTGTGTTCACTACTGTGTGTGTGCACGACTGTGTGTGTGCACTACTGTGTGTGCACTACTGTGTGTTCACTACTGTGTGTGTTCACGACTGTGTGTGTGCACTACTGTGTGTGTTCACGACTGTGTGTGCACTACTGTGTGTGTTCACTACTGTGTGTTCACTACTGTGTGTGTTCACTTGGATGGATGAAATGCAGAGCACAAATTCTGAGTATGGGTCACCATTCTTGGCCATACTTCACTTCACTTCCAAATATAATTTAACATCAATTTTAAATAGTTCAGAATTTGGTATTTTTCATTCCAATGACTTCATTAATATAATAACGGGCAATTATAATAATGAAATAAACTATAAGACATTTTTTACCATCACGAGTTGGGATTCAAACTCGTGAGTCCTGTAGAGTATGCGGAGGCGGGCGGTTAGAGTGAGCGGAGGCGGGCGGCTAGAGTGAGCGGAGGCGGGCGGCTAGAGTGAGCGGAGGCGGGAGGCTAGAGTGAGCGGAGGCGGGCGGCTAGAGTGAGGGGATGCCGGCGGCTAGAGTGAGCAGATGCGGGCGGCTAGAGTGAGCGGAGGCCGGCGGCTAGAGTGAGCGGAGGCGGGAGGCTAGAGGGGGCGGAGGCGGGC